AGAGTTAGGTGACATATCAATAATATGTTAGGCAAAGAAACAATACACTAAAGGCATAGTGGTGGAAGAGAGCTTTTATAGAAATTTATTAATTGTTCTATAAAGTGTTTTTGAGTTTAGTATAATATATTATAGAAACCAATCAACTTTGGTATAAGGTTATTTTGGAAAGTTCGTTTTGCTTATAGCATGGTATTTGATAGTTGTAAATTTTCTAGGCCTTGCTGGTTTATAGGAACATAACGGAGTGGAGGAAACAATTTTCAAGAAGCCCTTGACAAGTTATCGAATTTTACTTTCAATGTGATCACTTATTGTCTTTGTATTAAATAAGCTAATTACGGTTTCAAATTGGCTCGTCTAGCTCAGTTGGTAGAGCGCAAGGCTCTTAACCTTGTGGTCGTGGGTTCGAGCCCCACGGTGGGCGAAATAATTTTAGATTTTGATTAACTATCCAATTAAAACACAATCAAAGTGGTTAAAACTAATAAAATCTCGATAATGTTAGTTAGTACTTTTTTAACTTTTTAAAAGCTCTTGAATTTTATTTTCTGTTAGTTTTCTTTTCTTGCTTGTTTGTTTAAATCCAAATCAAGTTATGCTGTTTGTTTAAACTTTTAAAATAATTATTAAAATTAAAAATACATATTTTTATTTTGCTATTTATGTAATTTCCTTCAGTTTTTACTTTTTCATTTGCTATATTTAAATATTTAAATTTTAAATCTTAGAATTGTCGGAAACAATTGAATGACCCTTTATGATACAGCTTAGTAACTTTGAATCTGTTGTAAAAAGCTCGAACAACGTGCCCATGAATTCTCCTTTCTTCAACCTTCTGTCCTATCAATGCCCCTGCCACTGCCACTCAACTATTTCAGTTATAACTTGTGTCAAGTCGCAATCTTCAACCACTTACCGAATCTGCTACTCCATTGGGTTCAAAGAGACATAGCATTACTTCTCTTCAGGTTTCTCTTGATTCCTTTATTTGGTGTTCTTCCATTTGTAAATCACATTATCTAGAGATAAAATTAGTTCCATTTGGTGTTCTTCCTTTATGAATGAACTTACTCTAGCTTTGAATCTCTTTGGTCAAACATGATCAGAATCCTTGGAAAAAATCACCACAAATTCAACTCTTGATCTGTATAAGAAAAGCACAAATAACCTATGAAAAGTGCAGCAGCTGTTTTAAAAAATAGAAGCAGAGACTTCACCTTAAATCTATAACCACAAAACGACACTTCATACCGAATGGAAAGGTTATATCAACCGAAACTCTTTGTAACACAAAAGGTATGTCAGAAACCAATCAAACCAACCCCTCCAGTTCAGATACAATCCATAAACACTCAAATCCCAAAGAAGTACTAAAACACAGAATAAACACTAGCCAGAATAAATTGCAAATGAAGAAAATTTTACAGGTTTCTTATTTGGTTCTATATAATCTTGTTTTTTCGCATGATAGATTCAATTGTTGGAACATCAATCCTGGTGTGGGTGACTTAACCTAACACGTCAATTGAAGGAGAGAACTATATGCAAATAGGGATACAGATTTTAAAGGTGGTACGGTGAAATACTTCTCTGAATCACTGATTGTTTCTATTTATTCTGTTCAATTATTTATTTATGAATCTTTCTATTATTTATTAATGTAATTAGGATGCTAAGAGTCAAGAGATGAGAGAAAATCTATGTTGCACATATTATTCTTCTTTCTTTTGCTATTATACTTTCTACTGACATATCACCAGTCAAGGGTCTTTTTTGGTTGCTTGATAGTGATATAGAGATTTTGTTAAACTTGAAGGTCAAAGTTCACACTGTAGGACAAAAGCTGTGATTAGATGAAGATGAAGATGTAGATTTTGTCTTTTTCCATTTCTGCCTTGGATAAAATAAGATATCATAGAACGAACTAGCTAGCCTTTGAGTAAACAATGTGGTATATGTTGTCTTCTGTCGTTTCTCTCTGTGAATGGTGTACAACAGACAGATCATATAATGCCCCTTTGTGTATCTATGATGACTCTACAAATGTAGTTATTTGATGATAATACAGGGAAACTAACTTTTGCAGTTCTTCTTGAATCTTTTATTTCAGTGATGGTTCCACGCATGTCTTAAAGATGATAGATCGGCCATCAAGTAATAAGTTGAAGTTATTATACAATTTACTCTATAACCATATTTGCCAACCGAACATATAGTAGCAAAAGAACTCCCTGGCAGAATAGAATGTGTTAAGACAACTCCAATGAAATATGATACTGCTGTGTTGTGTAGTCTATTTATTTACATGGAATATTTGACACGTAAACATGGGCTTCTTGAGCTACTTCCACTGGTCTTGCTGGCTTGGAGTTGGAAGGATGTGATGCTTAGGATACGGAAGTTATTCCAATTGAACTGACCTATATGATCTTCCACATAACTCTGCATGAAATCTTCCATGTTTTTCTTCCTCTCTCTCTTTTTGAGGTCGAGGTTGTCTTCTTGACTATGCCTTAGATTGTTCGTTTAGTAATATCGGCATTTTTTTCCAAGTTTTTTCTGTTCGTTCAAGCTCTCGGTGTTTACATTTCATGGTCCTTTCAGGATTTATTTGGAATCTCATGCTATATTTTCTTTCTAGTTGTAATAATTATTAGAAAGTAAAATGCATTCTTTCATTTTCATGGGTGTTTAATGTTGCATGTGATATGTGTGACGTGTTTTTATTACCAATGTTATTGGATCAAATGCATTGTATGATCTGCATTATATTGCTTGCTGACAGTCAGAAGAAATACGATCAGTTTTGGAGTGAACAGAACTAAACTAATGGAGTCGCTTCTTACTCAGGCTTAGTTGGATATCGGTTCATTCATTACTTGCCCCATTGGAATTAAAATTCATATATATTTTTGTCTGATAAGTTTTCTAGCTTGCATCTTTTTTTTTTTTTTTTTTTTGAGAAGCTAGCTTGCATCTTTGACTTATTGGTTTACACAATATACTATTATTATCCATACGACTATTCTGTACAAGCAAGCCCTTATTTTCCTTAATTCTTGCGAGTTTTGTATATATTGTGATCGGCTGGGTGCTTGGATTGGTTTTACAAATAATTCTTTAAATTATTATCATTTTGGACAATCTGATTGCTGAATTGAAATATGGAATATACACCAGACATTTGTTTCAAGGATCGTCTTCAGGGTTGTCTTTCGTTGCCCCTTCCTTGAGGTCTGCATGCTCATTCCACTATCATTTTTCTTAATGATAGTTTTTTGCTGATTTTAATTCTTATGTAAATAAATTTACTCATGAGATGAACAATTTTGTGGTCATTATGTTTGAAGATGTTGTTTATTTATTCATGCATGGTCACTTGTCAAAAGGATTTGAAATATTGCAAGATTGAGTTTTATTGACTGTATCTAACATTGTAACGAAGTTGACATTGTTTATAGGTTAGACCAGTTTCTCAAAACGCAAATGGAGGCACATGCACACACGCACCAGTTTTCCTTTTTAGTGATAATTTGTCTTCCATTAGTAGAAGTTATTCTTACAAAGCCATTGAGACATGTCTTTTGGGAAATCTCTTCTAAAAGTCACCTTCGATCAAGTTCCCAGCATCTTTCATACCCTTGACTAAAATGATCAATGATTGGAGTCTCTCAATCCCCAAGCTCTTGACTAAAATATTGGACAGATGTGTTTGTCTTATCTTAATATTATTTTTTACCATTTATTAGCATAAAGAGAGAAAAGGACCGATCTGTTTTAATTTTTCATTGTTATAAACATTGCGTGGTTGTATTTTGCCTAGACTACAAGAATATGAATGTATGCCCCCGATAATCGTGCAATATGTTTAATTCATGTTGTAGAGTAGAATATTGGTCTTACAATAGTGTGACACATGTTAACTCTCTTTCGTATTAATGAATAAGTATATGTATATGTTGCAAATGTATGATAAGATAGGCAATGACCTTATTTGGAAAATTGGAATCACTCGTTGGTGAATTCAATTCCAATATTTTCACAGGTATGAATTACACTCCCCAAAATATAAGGGTTCATTGTATATAACGGTATGTTGCTAGTCCAACATTGTTCTTTGGAAAAATGTGTAGCACCTAGCTTTTGTTCCTTGTTTTTGGGAACAAAATTTTACAGTTGAGAAAACTTGCTCAGCTAAATTTAATCATCTTTATTACCTAACAGCTTTTATCCCGTGATATTGTAGGATCCGGGTGAATGGAGCAGGTAGCCCCTTGAGAAAGCAAGTATAGATATGCCTGCTGAAGTGCGGGCCTACAGGTTTTGAAACATTGAAAATTTTAGTTCTTTGCATTGCTATAACTGATGGTATCGAGGTCAAAGGGGACGATCTTGGCAACAACTTCATGGGTATGAAATACTAAGCTCTTCCAAATTGTGTTTATGAGTTGCCTTTTCAAAACTTGTCAACACAATAAAATGAACAATCCCTCGAATTCTGATATATCATATGTCATATATACAATTGAAATTTCTGTTTCTTTTTTCCTCTTGCCATTGCCATCTTCAACATCTTGTCCTTGCTGCATTGGTAAATATTACTAGGATTGTTTCATATTCCTTTTAGTTATTGTTGTAAACTTTTTAATTCAGAAAAAGATCCAGAATGAGATTTGAATGGTTTATATATGTAATATATTATTAGCAAAAGGTTGTTTTGTTATGGGGGTTATTAGTTGCAGTGTGCAAGGCAGATCTTACTTCATTAATTTAGTAGGGGAGCTGAAGGGTTCCTATGGTAAAATTAGAATATAACAGAAAATCTTCTTTCTTCTATATTCGATTTTGTTGGGAGATTAGTTTCTTTCGCAAGAACAAACATACGTAGAGCCTTCTTCAATGGAAAAGTTCTTCAGTAGTGCAAGGCTCGATTATGGATTTTTTGGGGTGGAAAAGAGTTGAATAATAATGGGAGCAGAGTAGCTCGTTCAAGGAAGTTGTTTGATGTGGAACCACCACCTTAAGAAAGATAAATAACTAGCAAGAGGGCATTCTAGTATGCAAAGAAATAAAACTTTTGGGACATAATGGTTAAGGAGAACTCCTACATGAACCAATCAAGTTTGGTATAAAGTAGTTTATGGTTCAAGTTTTAGGGTAGGCGTATGATTTTTTACGGTATTTTAAGGTTTAGACTTGGATGACATAACAATATGTATATTATTAGACAAAGATGCATTAGACTACAAGCACCGTAATTTACGATAGCTTTTATTTTGGAACAAGAAATAACTTTTCAATGATATATGAAAAGGAAGTTTTTATTAAAAGTGATTATCTTGTGTATAAAATGTTTAGTGGTTTAGCGTGATATGTTCTAAAGTAAATAAAGAAATGGCAAAATGGTTGAAGAGAGCTGTTATAAAAACCAAACAACTTTGGTATTAAGGWGATTTTTGAAAGTTTATTTTGTTTATAGCATGGTATTTGATAGTATCTCGTCTATGTTATAAAATTTATGTGAATCACTTTAATAAAAAAAACATAGGTATTGCTATGAGGTTTTAACATAAGTGGATTTGAGCATAACGGACTGCAGGATTATAATTTATAACAATTTTTTGATAAGTCTCAAGTTATCAATTTTTAATTTCTAATAATTTATGGATCTGCCCGTCTAGCTCAGTTGGTAGAGCGCAAGGCTCTTAACCTTGTGGTCGTGGGTTCGAGCCCCACGGTGGGCGAATTTTTATTCATTCATTGTTTTTTATTTGACCAGGCCAAATTTTGACATGGTGGCATTAGACTGTCACTTTATTCTTTGACCAGGTCAAAGTTTGACAGGCTGTCATTGCGTAAATTAGAAGCGGAAGTTCCCTATTTAACTAACACTCCTCACCGAGTGTTCTTGCCAAATTCTGTCTCTGTTTCGAGCTTTATTTTTATGTTCGTTTAATCCTCCGAAATCGTCTCTCCATCTCATCATCTTCTTCCTAGACATCGCTGTCGCAGTCGCAGTCTGAGCGTGCTCCTTTGTTATCAGACGCCATGGCCCTTCATTACTTTTACAATACTGCTGTTTGGCAACTGGCTGCAATGAGGAACTGAAAGCAGAAGGGTAGAGGCCAAGATAATTTTAAATGGGAGTGTTCGGTCTTCGGGAGTTATTGGCCCCCGTCGGTCGCCGTGTCTCCGTCGAAACCCTAGTCGGCTTGCCATCGGTATATATCTCTTTTTATTTTCAAACCACAACTCTATTCATAGCTCTGCAATTCTTATTTCACGTGAATTGAGTTTTATGTTCTCCTTTGTAGATGCGAGCCTTTGGATTATCGCGATGAACAAAGAGAAATGGCCATTCACTTGTTTCTTTTGCCGACTCGGTAAATTTTTATCTTTAGGACTGAGCCTCTCGTATGGTTATTAACGAACCCGCAACTTAACTTATTGTGTCTTGTTGCGAGTGACTTGGCCGAGCTTTCTTCGTAGGTTAAACAACGGAGTAATGTGTCAAGTCTTGCACTGTAACTGCATATGGTCGCCATGATCAGGATCCTGTTATTGAGGTCCATACTTATTTTTTTCCATCTATTTGTAATAGAAAGTTACTTCCATTTGCCCTGTCAATACTCTCCCTCCCTTTGTTTTCATACTTAAATACACTTCAAATTTATCTGTTTGTTTTTTAGTTGAACTTGTGGGGTGGTGTGTAACTTTTGGTTAATGTTAACTTTTGGCCGGTTGGTTGTAAATTTATCATATGTGGGAACTCTTATAAGATATGGAAATGATGAACAAAATTCTTTAGAAGGCTTATTCATTCATATGTTCTCTTTGAGCCGGACATCTTAGGAGGTCTGCTTAAAAGGGAATTGATGTACTTGGATTCTACTGTTGCAACCGTTTTAATAGAGGTAAGCAACAAATATTCGTGATTATAATATATTTGCTACATATTGGTTATTTAAGTTGATGAGTTTCTTATGTCTAAAGATTCAGTTGTTACTTGTGAGATATCTTATTTAGGCCGATGTATCTTCTACCAACACTGGGCGATCTTTTGCAATAACTTGTAAATTGTTGTTGTTAATATTGACGTGCTTGTTTGCATGTGCTTTAGATGATTTTCCAAAACAACCATGAACCAAACTTGGTTATAGGACTCAAAACTATGTTTTGCTAAATTCTTAACAAATGAAATTTGAACGCTTTCCAAATGTATTACAAAATAACTTATGTATTATTTTCTTAGAACATGATTATCCTTGTTTCACAAAGTGCTGTTGTCTTATCTTTTTTCCCATACATCTTGTCACCAAATTCTCTACCTTTTCTCATGGTTTCTCTCTTTCCCTTGCTGACGATTTGAAATCACTTCCACAAGTTATCTTCTTCCTACCAATAGTTGAAAATCGCCCCGAAGGTGATCAACTTCCCATAAATCTTGTCACCTATTTTAACTTGTTATTCTTTGCTATTAATCAGTACAAAGAGAGAAAAAGGACCATTAAATACTCCTTTTTAATTTTTCCTTTTCATAAATTTGTGCTGTTGTATTTCTTTGGCTAGACTACAATAATATAAATGTGTCCCCCCAATAATCATGCGATATGTTAAGTTCATGGTCAGATGATGTGATTATAGAATTTTGGTCAGAAGGGTTATATTGTATATAAAAGTTCTTGTTCCTTCATTTTCCAAACAAAACTTTCCTGTTTAGAAAGCTTGATCAACTAAATTTAATTATCTTTATTACCATTCAGTTCTAAAGCTTTTATCCCATGTCATCTTGTAGGGATTGGATGCGTTATTATAATTGATGGTACCAAGGTAGAAGAGGGAGCGTGATCTTGGCAACAACTTCTCATGGGTATGTAATATGTTGCTTTTGCTTTTGGCAATGGCTGCCCTAATTGCCCTAATTGTCACTGCCTATGGAACCTATAAATGGTATATTGTCATGCTTTAACTAGCTCAATAAATCTGAAGGTAAATTGATCATTCATGAGTTGCCTTTTCAAAAAACAACTCTATGAACGATCAATTTGTAAACCATAAAATGAATATTCTCTCCAATTATCCAATTCACAAGTCATATATATTTGAAATTCCGGTTGTTTCTGTTGCCAATGTCATCTTCTATATCCTGTCCTTGCTGTGTTGGTAAATATTGTTATGAATTGTTTCATATACTAAGTTAGTATAAGGAGATTTTGGGAAGTTTGTTTTGCCTATAGCATAGTATTTGATAGTTTTTTGATTTTCTAGTATCCAATCCATATGTTGATGACTTTAACAAAAATCATAGGTGTCTCTGAGGTTTAAGAAAGTATAATTTATATTAGAGAACGTCCAGGGCAATTTTTAAGAAGTCAAAGAGAATTATCAACTTTTACAAAATGCAATTGCCCGTCTAGCTCACTTGGTAGAGCGCAAGGCTCTTAATATTGTATTAAATTTTTCTATTAAGCCCTTTTTTATTGGCTTTTTATAATGTAGATTGATAATAAAACCAATCCATATTATTCCAGTAGCATTTGAGTTGGAATAATCTTTCCTGTGCTGAAGCTGTCTTGTCTGGATGCCATGTTTAATTAAGTTGTAAGTTCCTTAAAAAAAATATGTATGTAATATATAAAATGTATAAATATATTACATACATATTTTTTTTAAGAGTTGCCTTTGTCTCAGTCTGAGCGTGATCTTTTCATCAGTCGCCTTTGCCCTTCGCTACTTCCATAATACTTCTGTTTGGCAGTTGGCGGCAATGAGAAATTGAAGGCAGAAGCGTCGAGGTCAAGAGAATTAAAAATGGGAGTGTTCGGTCTTCGGGAGTTATTGGCCCCCGTCGGTCACCGCGTCTCCGACGAGACCCTAGTCCGCTTGCCATCGGTATATATCTCTTTCCGCAAACCACAATTCTTCTTTTATTTTGTATGTGGATTAAGTTTTATGGATCTCCTTTGCAGAAGCGAGCATTTGGATGGTCCAATTCACAAAAGTAATGCACGATGACGGTGATGTGTCAAGCATTGCACTGTTACTGCATATGGACTGGTCATGATCGAGATGGTGTGATAGAGGTCCATACTTATTATTCCTCGTAGTCCCGTTTTTTCCATTTCCTTCCTTTTTTTCTAACAGAAAATTCATTGTTGCCTTGTCAATAATAGGGTGAACGAATTAATGTTTTCGAAATAAAAAGAAAAATCTTATTAACTATGTGGGAAAGGTCATACCTAGCGGGGGAGATCAGATGAACCACTAGCGCCTGGGCAGCTTATTAAAAGATTCAGCAATGCCCTTATTCGAAAAATTGGAATCACTCGTTGGTGGGAGGTGGTGAATTTAAAACCTATTTTTTCATAACTATGTTGCTTGCCAAATAAAAATTTCCTGGTTAGGTAACTCGCTCAACTAAATTTAATCATCTTTATTACCTTTAAGTTTTAAAAGCTTTTATCCCGTGACGTCTTGTAGGATCTGGGGTGATTGGAGCAGGCAGCCTTTGAAAAGTGACTGCCTGCCTGCTTAATTCTTATTGAATCCGTTCAATTTTGGCATATTAGGTGTCTTAGAGATCAGGAGGGTAAGAATATTTTAGGCAAAGAAGAGCAATCACGAACCTAGCTGAGCAGTAAATGACATCTATTCCCATTGAATTTGAAGGTTTGAAGGTTTGAATTCTCATATTCCATATTTGCCGTGCTACAAAAAATATTTTAGGCAAAAGAAATAAAGTTTTAAGGGCAATAGATTTGTGGAAAACTCTTATGGAAACTATGGCATAAGGTGTTCTAGGGTTTTAAGATTTATGGGTTTAGGATTTAGTATTGCTGTAGTTTAGGAAGCCTTAGCTGTAAGGACAAAGTGGTTGAGTAGTACGTTTATAGAAATGATCAACATTGGTATAAGTTCGTACATGGTATTCCTGGTATGACACAGAGCAAATTGAAGAGGACGTAAAGAAAAGTTATTAAAAGCATTAATCAATGAAGCTGAGATAGGCGCCAATAAAACACTCTTAATTGGAAGGTGGTGTCATTGGCCATTGAAAATGGGTGTTTGGGTGGTTGTAACTTAAGGTAAGGCAAAGAGAGTAGGATTTAGTGGCAAGTGTTGAGAAAATAACTCTTATAGAATTCGATGACATTTGGTATAAATACAAAGAGGAAGCCTGAAGAAAGGCAGAAACTCTCAAACCGGTGAAAGAAAAGAAAAATCATTGAAAGCATCAGGCTGTGAAGTTTAAAAGAGGAGCCAAGAAAACACTCTTAATTGGGATATGTGGTTTCACTAATTTATCTATTTGAAATTGCCAGTATGAGTTTAACTTAATGGTTATAATATGAGGCTAGTAAGGAAAAATAAAAATTAGTTTTGTTGAATCAGGATTTTTGAGAATTTGCACTAGGTAAAACTTCATACTTTTTGCTGATGGTTATTGTTTATCTCACATGCTTTATCATTTCTTTAGTATTTGGTGGACGGTAGATGACTGAGTTTAGTCATTTTGCCTTTATTTCACATACGACTTTATCTCCAACACTTTTCATAATTATGTCTGGACTGCAGCTATTATAATTTTCACGTATACTGAATCACTGATCATACTGCTTCTAGGGTAGTGTAGTTTTTGATGGTCTATTTTTTTTGTATCCAAATCCACGTTATAAAATTTATGTTAATCAAGTTGATTTGAGCGTAACATATTTCAGAGTTGATGATTATAATTTTGTTAGAGAACTTTTGGGAGCAATTAACGAGAAGTCTTCGACCAAACAGGTCGGATTCTCATTATTGCACTAAAATAAAGGATGATGGTTGTAGTTAATTAGATTAGCTGAATTGTTTAGCACATGTGCCCGTCTAGCTCAGTTGGTAGAGCGTAAGGCTCTTAACCTTGTGGTCGTGGGTTCGAGCCCCATGGTGGGCGATTTATATATTTTTTCTATTCATTGTTTTCCTGATTTCGTTTAACTATCTTTCTTGTGCTGGAGCGTGTTATCATCTTCTTCCCACCGGTCACAGTCTCACTCTGAGATCAGTCGCTTCCGCTACTTCCACAATACTCTGCAATGGGAAACTGAAAGCCGAATCGTCAATTGGAGTGCTCGGTCTTTGGGAGTTATTGGCCTCCGTCGGTCGCCGTGACTCTAACGAAACCCTAGCCGGCTAGCCGGCTTGTTATCGGTATATCTTATCCATATGACTAACTAGTTTTCATAGTTTACTTTTATAAAGTGCAGCTGTCTTTCTAGGTAACTTCAAGTCATTTTATGATTTACAAAAATTTTAAAAAATGAAAATGAATTCGATTCTTTGTAACTTCAAGTCATTCCCTAAGAATGTGAATTTTTCTTATCTTACAAATTGCAACTATCTTTTCCCCCCATAAATAGTGTCACCATATTCCTACCTTTTCTCATGGTTTCTCTCTGTCCCTTGTTGAAAATTGGAAATCTCTTCTTCTTTATAACAAGTTGAAATTTCCCCTGAATAGAAACATCAATGACTGGATCTTCTCTTTTGATTAAATCCCTAGCGCTTTAAGCCATAATGTAAACTGAAAGACGTGTATTTTACATAAATAGATATTTTAAAATAAACAATTTTATTTATTTTATCTACTTATTATTTTTTACAATTTGTTAGTACAAAGATAGAAAAGGACCATTACATGATCATGTTTAATTTTTCCTTGTCATAAATTTTGCTTGGTTTTATTTCTTTCTTGGCCTACACTACAAAATATTTCCTGATAATCATGCAATATGTTGGTCTTACAATGGTGCAGCGTTGTTAATGTTAACCTCCCTTTCATTTTAAAGAAAAAGATACATATTGCCTATATGGTAAGATAGGATAGGCAATGCCCTTGTGTGTAAAATTAGATTCACTTGGTGGGAGATGGTGAATTAAGTACCAATAATTCACAGATAACAGGTCCCAAAATATAAAGGGTTATATTGTATTTCACGGTGTGTTGCCTGTCAAACTTGTTCTTTGGAGAAATGGTAGCACCTAGCATTTATTCCTTGTTTTTCTGAACAAAATTTTACCGTTTAGAAATCTTGATCATAGATGTATCATCTCTATTACCTTTAAGTTCTAGAAGTTTTTTTATCTTGTGATATTGAAGTATCTAGCTTCAACGAGGTAGCAGCCCTTGAAGAGGTAGTACATGTCAACTTTAACTGTGTGCGTTTAGAGGTTCTGAGACATTGAAAAATCAAGTTCTTTAAGGGATCAAAGCATCACTGTAATTGACGGTGCCAAGTTAAAATAGGGCGACCTTAGAAGGTTATGTAATAAGTTGCTAAGAGGGCGACCTTTGAAGGTATGTATTAAGTTGCTTTTTATTTTGGCAATGGATACCCTATTTGTCATTGCATATGGACCTATAAATACAATATATCGTCATACTTTAATTATCTCGATAAATCTGAACACTTCCAATTAGTACTTGTGAGTTGCTTTTTATTTTTATTTCCTGTCCTTACTGCATTGGTATATTACTATGGTTGTTTCATATTCCTTTTCGATTTTGTAATGCAGAAAATATTCAGAATGCTAATATTCGCCAAAGGTAGGGTTTGAGTGGTTTTATATTCGTGATATATTATTAGAGGTTATATAATGGCAGTGTGCATGGCAAATCTTTCTTCATTAGTTTAGTAAGAGAGCTGAAGGGTTATTTGATTTAATTAGAAGAGACGAGAAAGTCACTAGTTCTTCAAAAAAGAAGATTCAGGCAAGGGGGTCTGTGGAAACTCCCACTTTTTCTAGCAAAGGAGTCAACTCCACTCCCTACCGATGCCTTACATTTAGCAACATGGTAGACTTTACAATTTATAGTGAGAATTAGTAGAAGGGGGATAAATAGAATGTTCTACATTTGAATGACGGGAGATTTAGTGACAGAAGCTTTACTGGTTATTGAAGATGAAAAGATTAAAAAAGATGTTTTTGGTGAAGGTGAAACAAGTAAAGTTTTCTAGTTGGGCAGAGAAGCTACCGACCTTATTTGAACAGGATTTGTTCTATAGATTGTACAATTGTGTCCTTGAGTTTTAAAGTTCGAAAGGTAAAGAAAGATGGAGCTACATTTAGTATAGACAATTTTAATTACTTATCTTTGATTCTTCCATGCTCCAAGTTGTCTGTGGAGGAACTCACATTCTGTTGATAGGTTTACTGAAATGATCATAGAAAGGAAAAAATAAAATTGACTTTGTTGAATCTAGTTTTATTACTTATCTATTAACACTTTTCTTAATATTGTGTTATACTCTTTACATTCCAATTCTCACATATACTGATCGTTCTACTTCTAAACAAATGTTCGGTGATTTTGGAAATTTCATTTTGCTTATGGTATAGTGTTGAAAAGATGTAGATTCTTTTTTTTGTCCAATTCAATGTACACAATTTATGTCAATCACTTTAAATAAATGATCACACACGTCTTTGAGATTTTAAGATAAGTTGATTTGAACATAACACATCTACATTGCTAGAGTACATTATAGTTTACGTTGGAGAATATAATTTTGAAAACATGGATGTGATGTTACTTTTAATCCAAGCTAATTATCAACATGGATCTGCCCGTCTAGCTCAGTTGGTAGAGCGAAAGACTCTTAACCTTGTGGTCGTGGGTTTGAGCCCCACAGTGGGCGGTGTAAATGATTTTGTCCAATGGCTCTATTTACCAGAGTTGGTAATAAATAAACAAAATTTTAAAATTATATAAATAATCAGTTTTTAGATATTATAATTATAAAAAATAAAACAATTAAGTTATTATCAGCTTAAATATACCACTTAATTCTCAATTTGATTCTTAATTTTTGAAGACTTTTTTTTTTTTGAGTGTTCAAACATCTACTTGAGGGATCAATTAGACACTTAGCTCAAATTCTAAGAAACAAAAAATGTTCACTAAATACACACCTATCTCAAATCATGTATTTTGTCAAAAAAAAAAAAAACTAATTTGTTTATTTATTTATTATTATTATTATTTGCCATTGGACCAGGTCAAATTTTGACACGATAGCACCAGGCTGTCATTGTTTCTCTTTGACCAGGTCAAATATTGACAGGCTGGCATCGCGTAAAGTAAAAGCAGAACTTCCCTATTTAAACTACCAGTACCAGACTCCACTCCTCACGAGTATCTTTACTTGTGGCGTAAGTAATTTCTCTGTTCGTTTCGTCGGAAATTGTTTCTCCATCACATCTTCTTCCTAGCAGTCTGAGAGTGATCTTCTTCTCAGTCGCCTTCGCTACTTACTCCTGTTTCGCGGTTGGCGACGATGAGAAACTCGGCTCTCCGGCGTCGGACTTTGATTGCACGCCGTACACAGCGTGAGAACGCCCAGGCTAAAGGTTGTAACGCCGCCCAGGGATTGCTTCTCAATCATGTAAGTTCACTCGGCTTCTAACCCTAACATCATCGGAATCTAAGTTTTCAATAAAATTTTAGGGTTTTTTGTTTAGTTAAAAAAATTATTTCTGATTCCATATATTGCTGTCTAACCTACTGTTCACCCGTAGGTTGTAAAGGAAATGTAGAAACCATTCTTAACGAAAAGGCTTATTCATTCGCTAATTCTACTTGGATTTTTCTTGGTATGACCATTTTAATTGAGGTAAGCAACCAATATTTGCGAAGTTGATGAATTTCTTTATATCTAATTAATGATACAGTTGAGAGATTTTGTTATATGCCGATGTATCTCCTACTTACTCTTGCTGACATCTTGCAATAATTTTTAAAATGTTGTTTGTAATTGTCTCTTTTGATGGTTGTCTCATTGCACTTTATGGAATTAACCGGTGAAACATGGTTAATACTAAAGCTATTTTATCAATTTACATGTGGAAAAATTGACCAGGTTTGCTTAATAGTTCTAATATGAGACTAGAAAGGAGAGGAAAAAAAAAGTTAGCCTGGTTGAATGTGGATTTTTTAGCGCCTAGCAATTGTTGTTTTAATATCAGTTTGCTGTGTTTTCTTGAATTGCCCAAATGTCTCATCATTTCTCTAGAATTTTGTGGATGGTAGGTGATTGAGTTTAGTCATTTTGTATTATGTCTTATTTCTGTAATTCGTGTCATGAGACCTTTCATTTTGATATAATAAAAATATACAAATAGATGAATGTTCAAGGAAATGAGACCTTTCCATAATTCTATTTTGCATGGCATCTGTTCCAATATTCACGTGTGCTGATCATGTGCTTCTAGGCAAATGTTTGGTACAAGGGGATGAATCAAATGTTTTACATTTAATGATCAAAATCTGGGATATTTAGTAACAGAAGCTTTAGTGGTTATTGAAGATCAAAAGATCAAAAGAAGATATTTTTGGTGAATAAGATGAACAGTTTGAATGTTGAGGAAGAAGAGAGGATGAAACAAGTGAAGTTTTCTAGTTGGGTAGAGAAGCTTGTTCAAAGGAGTTCTCTGAAAGGAAACAATCACTTTAAAAGAAGTTTGCATGGATTAAGGAAAATATAAAGCTAGAAGGGGATGCTCAAGGAGTGAAGCATTGAACAAAAGAAATTTCGGAACTGAAGGCAAAGAAAGAAAGCTTCAAGGGCAAAGGGGTGGTGGAGAATTGAGACGATGAACTTTTGCACGAGGTGTTTTATAATTTATGGTTTTGGGTTTAGGCCTTTAGGCCTTTAGGGTAACGAATAATACAAGGCAAAAAAGAAAGACAGTTTTAATGGCAAAGTGGTTAAATAATACTTTATTGAAATGATGGGAAATAGTATTCCTGTTCCTGTTATGACACAGCAACTCAAAGAGGAGCGAAGACAACATTCTCAAACTTAAGCCATAGGTAATACATTTTTTTCTAGATAAGGCCTAGGTAATACTACTTTATTGATTAAGATGGAGCGACATATAGACAATTTTAATTACTTATCTTTAATTCTTCCATGCTCCATCCTGCTGCAGTTATTTTATTGAGGTATCTGTGGGGAGACATTCTGTTGATAGGTTTGCTGAAATGAGGATAGAAAGGATAGAAGAAAGTTGGCTCTGTTGAATCGGGATTTTGGAGAACTTTCAGCAGGTAAAACTTCGTACTTTTTGCTGATAAAAGGCTCTAATATTGTTGTTTTTATGCTTTTTTTTAATTTCTCTAGTATCTAGTAGAGGGGGTTAATATGATTCAGTCCTTTTGTTTTGTTTTTTAGTTGGAGGGCCAATACCAGCTCAACTCAGGTTGGCAATATGATTCAGTCATTTCACCTTGCCTTGCCTTGCCTTACCTTTCTTAATTCTGTTTCGGACCGTCCATTCCAGTTCACATATTCTGATCATTTTACTTCTGGGAAAATTTTATTATGTTATTGATAGAGGGGGTACACACTGAAATATATATATATATATTTTTTGAAGCACACTGAAACGTATTTATTTAGTAAAAATTTAATTGGTGCCTAGTATAAGTAAATCTATAAACGAATTTAAATTAATTTGTTTATTTATTTATTATTATTACTACTTGCCGTTGGACCAGGTCAAATTTTGTGACACGCTGTCATCGGGCTGTAATTTTTTTCTTTGACCAGGTCAAATGTTGACAGGCTGGCATCGCGTAAAGTAAAGGCAGAACTTCCCTATATAAACTACCAGACTCTTTATTTGGGGCGTAGTTTCTCTGTTCGTTTCGTTCGAAATTGTTTCTTCATTTCATCTTCTTCCTAGCAATCTCAATCTCAGTCTTAGTCTGAGAGTGATCTTCTTCTCAGTTCTCAGTCGCCTTCGCTTCTTCCACTGTACAGTTCTGTTTTGCGGTTGGCGACAATTAGAAACTCGGCTCTCCGGCGTTGGAATCTGATTGCACGCCGTAGACAGCGTGAGAACGCTCTTGCTAAAGTTCGTAACACCGGCCAGGAATGCTTCTCGTTCATGTAAATTCACTACGCTTCTAAACCTAACATCGTCGGAATCAAAGTTTTCAATAAAATTTTATGGTTTTTTTGTTCAAAAAAATAATTTCTGAGTCCATATATTGCTATCTAATGTACTGTTCATCAGTTGGTTGGAAATTAAGGAAATGTAGGAACTCTTTGAAGACATGGAAATGATGAACAAAGTTCTTGACGAAAAGGCTTGTTCATTCACTTACCTCCCTCTTCTTCCATCTCAAATTTCTTCTTTTCAAACCTGCCTCTTTTTGTAGTTGTTCTTAGAGGGACTACAATTATGTTGCTGTTTTGTATTTAATGGATGTACTGTGTTGATTTTCTTGACAAGGGGCAGTCATTTTTCTGGGACAGCTTGTTTCAAACCTGTTTTAAATGGTTAACTAACTTACCCTTCTTCTGAAGATTAGCCATCGCACGTTATGGAACTAGGGGGCAAAGCATGATTTTAAATTAAGAAACATGTCTTTAATGTTTATTTTCTTTAGGTGGTGGAATAAGAAGTAATTAATTCTCTCAATTTAAAAGAATTTGAAGAAATAATTTTGTAAATTGAATCATCATATGGTTTTCTTCCTCTTTAAAGTGCAAAGCAGAGCTGGATCGTCCTTGGATCCATCACATACTCCACCATTACGAAGTCGTTTGTATTAAAATCTGTTCGTGGAGATTATCTAGACGGGATTAGAGAGGAGTATCGTCCTTGGAGAAATGTCCTATATGGCGTTGGTTTGATCACACCGATATGCTTTTAGATCCTTGTGGAAAGCTAATATTTTCTTATGCTTTTATATCCTTTTTTGTAGATTAAAGGTTTCATGATGTCGTGGCAGGTGGTGAATTTGTGACATAACAAGTTAACATTTTCACGGGTGCAATTTATCTCTCCAAAATATTAGGGTTATATTCCTGCATACAAGGATGCATTGTTTATCAAACATGAGTCATGATGCAGATGTTGCTTAGGAAGGATTACGGTGTTTACGGCCGCACCAAGCTCTTCTCGTCATATTGTGGTGACATTTGGTAAATGGTGGTATCAGTTTCATCAAGCTTGTTACTTCCCTCTTACATGTTGTACTTCCTTTTACTTGAAACTTTGAACTTTAAACACGGATACAAATTCATTTTGGATTGATTGAGCATTTACTGGTAAGGAACTAGAATAAGGGAATGTAATTCTTTCTTCATAACTGCCCGTCTAGCTCAGTTGGTAGAGCGCAAGGCTCTTAACCTTGTGGTCGTGGGTTCGAACCCCACGGTGGGCGTAATATAAATATAAAGTTGAACTTTTTTTTATTACTATTATTATAAATCCACAGTATTCCAATAGCATTTAAATTTCACAATCTTTATTGTGCTGAAGCGTTCTTTTTCACCTCTTCTTCTCTAGGTAGAAAAGGCAATTGTTTTGCTCAGGTTTTTTCGTGATGGAGAAATACGGAGTTATTGTTTATGGCTGAGAAATTGGAGCCTGAGTTTATTGTTTATGGCTGAGAAATTGGAGCCTGAGTTTACAATGATCAGCCCGCGTAAATGTGAATTGGTAATCCTCTCAAAAGCTCCTTACATTTTTAATGGATGCCATGTTTAATTAGTCCATCATATTTCAACCATCACCTCGTCGAAGATGGAAGAATTATTAGACCTATTAGAGTTTTGTGCATGCAGAGAAAGAACGATGTCATTTCGAACTTGGAGCCAGAATTTGTCATAGAGTGGTACAATTGTTCATTCCAACTCTTGATCTTTCAATTACATATCTTGTAAAAAAAAATTGATTTATTATTAAATTATTATCTTATTAATATAATATTTGAACATTTATGTCACTCATGCACACGAGATTTATCTATTAACAAATCCATTTCTTTCAGGTGGCATATTTGAAAATAGCATGCACCTGCCGTGTTAATAAAATAATAATTTAATCATACAACTCTACTCTCTCTTGCTCTGCCCTCCACCAATAATTTGCAAAATGTTGTTTTGTAATTGTCAACACACTCATGTGCTTGTTTGTCCAAAATACCAAGTTTTGTTAGGATCCAAAAAGGTGTTTTTTTTTTACCCTCCAACAGATGTTGAACTTTTCCGGTCTTTTTGCTTATAATTTTTGTTTATCTCACGTCTCTAATATCTTTGTTTTAATTTCAGTTTAGTTGGATGGCTAGCCCAATGCTGTATCATTTCTGTAGTATTTGGTAACAGTAGATGCTTGAGTTTAATCATCATTTTAATTTCAGTATAGTGCACTTTATAATACATATGCTGATCACTTTAATAAAAGATCATAGGCATCAGTGAGATTTTAGGATAAGTTGATCTGAACGTACCACATTCTCGGAGTTGATAATTGTAATTTCTGTTAATAGAAAATCAGGAACAGCTTCATTTAAATTTATAGCTGAATCTGAGCAGAAACTTGCCCGTCTAGCTCAGTTGTATAGTGCAAAGCTATTAACCTCGTCGTTGTGGGTTCAAACCCACGGTAGGCATTTATTTTTTTTTACTTGATTTAAAATTAATGTTGATTTTTTCTTTTTGAGATAGTTATTTTTTACTTATTTATAATTAATGTTGTTTTAGTCACCATTTCTAGAAAAACCAAATTAAGTTGATTAAATCAAATGAAATCTATTATAGTCAAATTCAATCCAAATTCTCTCTCCACATCTAAATTCCTTCTTTTCTGTTTTTTAGTATCTCAACGTTATCTTTCCCATTTAATTGGTTCAAACTCTTCCAATTAAACTTAGAAGACTAGCGAGGACAAACGATGTTGAGCCGACCCATATCATCTACATCAGCTGATCGACCTTTCTTAAGGAAGAGCTGACCTTTGAGAGAATCTGGAAGCACTTACCTTCGACCGAATTTCAGACAACATGTTATGATTCTCGGCACTGTCCAAAAGCTGTCGTAATAGTGCTGGAGGTCCTATCGGAAGCTTACTTTTATAAATAGAGAACCCTACTTCGCTTCTCAATTATGCGAAACTATTCTCTCTCAAGCAATAGATCAGATAAGGACTAATTGAACGTCGGAATTGTTACTCTCTTTTGTAGATCCCTTTGTTCGTTAATCATTTTCGTCTGAGCTTTCCGATCAAGTTATGACTTTTTTGGTTGTTTCAGGAATAAGTTTGCATCTCGCATGGTGGCAATTTTTTTAAGTAGTATTTTAGATTTTTCATTGCAAGACTTTTTAACAATGTATGAAATTATTTCATTAATTTTTATCTATTTAATACATAAAAATATATAATTAAATCATATATTAATTTTAATGAGATGTTTTAATCTTGACTATTAATTAAATTCATTAAACTTTATTTTCTATACAGTAAATAGAACTAAAAATTTCACCTACATCACACGCGTTATGAATAGTTATATAAAATTTAACTAACAAGAAATTTCAGATTAGTCAATTGAAATTGAAGAACCACACCCTGATCCAACCACAAATCCCAAACTTTTTGGCTGCTGAGTTGTCGGGCTCGATATCACATCATGCTTCAACTCAATTATGAAAATATTCAAATCTAATCCTACATTACCAATACTAGCATAAATAATCTCGTATTCTGATGGCCAATTTCTAATTACAAATGGTCAAAAAGAGAGAGAGAAACTTAATCAACTGACTTAACAGGGGGGTAAAAATTAAACTCTTCCTATTATTTATTCAACTTAGTTGTAGTTTGATATATATATATATTTTAAAATTATGTTTATTTTTGTGCAATTTCATTAAAAAGATTTTCATCTTTTTTTAAACAGATTTGAATTTTCAGGAAAATTTCAAAAACAAAAGCAAGATTTTGAAAACTCTAGGTTCATTTGATAACATTTCGTGTTTCTTATTTATCATTTTTAAATTTATTAAAAAATTCTAAATATTTGACACCATTTATATTTGTTGTTTCTCATTTTTAGAAAACTCTGAAAATTGAATAAAAATTTTGAAAACAATCAAAATATTACCAAAAATTGACCATATTTTTCTTGGTTTCAAAATTTGGCACACGTTTTGAGAATGTTTATAAAATTATTTAACAAAACAGAGTAATGTTTCTAATAAGATCAATTTTTAAAAATAAACATAAATAGAAAACAAAAAATAAATTATCAAAATGAGATTTAAGACACTTATATTCAATCACAAGGTCGTGAGTTCAAATCTCTATCCTTAAAGTAAAATAAGTTGGGTTTAATTACTGAACAAACATTAAGAAAACAGAGGGTTTCACCCTTCTTAGATTTAAAGATTTATATTTATAAAATAAAGATTTTAAAGTCCACCTGAAAGTTGTATTTTATCTCTACCTGCAGGCTGCAATCCTAATCTCCCTCGTCATTCCTTGCGTTGGCAAATTGACATATATGTTTTTTTTTTAATCCTCCTCTTTAATGTCAACCACATTAAAAAAAAAAAAAAATTTGGTACAACACGTGAGAATATAAATTCGAACTGACGATTTTTTTATCGAAATTAGATACCTTAACTATTTAAGTTATGTTCAGGTTGGCTCCAATGACATATTTGCTTAACTCAATAGGAAAGATGATTTTAATTTTCTCTCTTTAAATGTCGTTCTTTGGTGAGGCCAATATGATATGACTCAATAAAGTAGCAGCTTTGAAATATGAACTTAATATGCAAAATTTAATCAATAAAGTTTTGTGTTTGAAAAATATAAGGTTTTTTTAGTATGAAAAGTTAATCTTACATTTAGTAGGTGATCTGAAGTTTTCAAATGTTAGTGCCCATATCAAATAATGTTTTTCTTTGGAATTTGAAAATGTGTTTGATAGTCAAGGCGGAGCCATGAAGTTTTTTATGGAGGGGTAAAATTTTAAGCTCTAACCTTTGAATAGGTATAAGGTTCCAAAAATACCCTTACGAATATTCAAATAATTTAAAGAAGGTTGGTCAGGACTTCCACCAAGTCCAAGGATCTCTCCCTATTCCTGGTCAAGAAAAATGGGATTGAGTCCAGATTTGTAAGGTGATTGTGAACAAAGTCCCACATTGGCTAGGAAAGGAAATGATCATGGATTTATAAGATAAGATAGGGAATAATCATTGGTATATAAGATAGGACAATTATCTCCACTGGTGTGAGGCCTTTTGGGTGAAACCAAAAACAAATCCGTGAGGGTTATACCCAAAACGATACCATTGTGTCAAAGCCGTGAGGGTTATGCCCAAAGCGGACAATATCTAAAATGCCTATACGAACCCAATTCATTACTTCGCATCAATGGAACTTCAACAGCAGCTAAGTCTAGAGGGAAGTTGTGAGCATTACTGATAAATATATATATTTCCTATCGAGTCAGACATACTCACAACCTTTTGATCTAAAGTAGATATCTTAACTAGTTGAGAGTTTATGTTCTGGTGGCTCTAATACCATGTATGCTTTGATGAATAGAAAATATGATTTTCATTTTCTCTCTTTCAAAGCACGTTGTTTGGTAACGACAATACCTTTAATATGATACAACTCAACGAAGCAGCAACTTTAAAGTATGAACTTAATATGCCAAATTTAATAAATAATTTTTTGTGTTTGAAAGATAAAAGGGTTTTTGTTAGTATGAAAAATTAATCTTACATTTAGCAGGTGATTTCGATGTTTTCGGATGTAAGTGACACTATCAAATAATATTGTCTTTGGAATTTAAAAATGCGTTTGTAGAGCCATGAACTTTTTCACGGACAAGCAAAATTTTAAGTTCTTTGGCTCAAAGTAAAGCCCCATTTGCCAAAGCAATCATAGCTCATAAGTGGTAATTGAAATACAATCAAGAGGTTGTGAGTTCGACTCTCTACCCCCATATGTTGTATAAAAAAGTGGGACCGCGTTTAATTTCCTCCTGCTAATTTGACAATTTCCGAACATTTCTTTCACATTCCATTTAATGATGCTCATTAGCGATCTAACAATTGTACATTGTCTTTTTTCTTTCTTTTTTTTTCCTCATTTGAAGCAAAATACAAAATACAAAATTAAATGGAACCTTTCCTAACTAGAGTGTGAAGTCAATCGAAGGCTTGAATACTAATCTGTTAAGATATCTAATACAAAATTAAATTTACTCTATTCGCACTTAAATTTTTAGGTTAGATGGGTGAAACGGAAGGTATTATGTTTCACTTCTTCAAAGTTAAAGGTTGTTTCATCTTAATTAAGAAYGAACAAACTACCGCTCCATCCAAAAAATTAAACCGATGGATTGAGTAAATTTAATTCATTTATATGGATTCTAACATTTCACAATCGATGTTGAACCGGATTAACAAAATTGAATAGACAACGTACCTAGTAAATACCCCACCTCCAACTTTCCTCCGTACATATATATTCTCACAGCATATTCTCACTGATAAATATTGATCTCTTATCTTTCGACTTACTATTTTACATCTAAATATAATTGTTTTACCTTATCAAAGATTAATTTTCTCTTTTATCATAGCTATAGTTTTCCCTACTTTTAAATTCAAATGAAATGTGATATTATTTTATGATAATGGCCGAAATTTTATTTTCAAAATGGCGAATATTTTAAAATGTGTAGTCAGAATTTTCATTTATCTAAAAAGAAATGTGTTTGAAGAATAAATGTTTTTAAATCCAAAAATTGTTAATAAATGTATACAATAAAAGTAACAATTACTTCAATATTCCAACAAAAAAAAATTGACTTAATTTTTTTTTTTTTGTCATTTGGTTGCAAGGCCTAAGCCCTTATTGTTTTAATCGTTTATGATAAAATTTTAGTAGAAATATGTTTGTTTAATTAATTTTCAAATCATATTTTTCTGAATTTATCTTTACTAGTACACTACTCAAGAGAATAATTAGTTTTAATAATCTTGACATTATGGTCACTATTTCTAAAAATAATTTAAACAACTGTTCTATATAGAGTCTTGAATATGTATAATCATTGGTTGAATAGTCATCCGAATAAAATAAAATAAAATCTAGAGACTATTGAAATATAATTTAAAAAAACTAAAAGAATTATTCACAATATACAAATTTTGAAGAATACTTATTTAATATTAAAAAGATAGGAAAACAAATTTCATACATGAGGACGTAATGGCCTGGCAGTTGTCAGAATCACGACGTCGGTTGATATTTCTCCCTATAAATTTCCACCTTCCAGCATTGACATACTACAAGTTGATAAAAGAAAATCAAAATAAAAAAATAAAAAAAAGAGGAAAAAAAAGTGTAAAATAAACATGTCTTTTAAATAAAGCAAAATTTCCAAAACTTCACAAAAGAAAAGGGAAAGAAATATTATTATCTAAATAATCTCAAACTTAATGGTAACCTAAAACATACTTAAAAAAAGTCACATTTATATCATATTTAAAAGCCATGAAAATTTATATCTTTTTAATAGGGATAGTTACAAATATGACAAAAATATTTAGTATAATTGGTAAAAACAACAACCATATTTAATTTCTCTTTTTAAAAAATGGAGATCCAATTTTAAAATGACAATTTTATTCAAATAATATGCATCTGTAATATTTATGTAATATATATGACTACTGATATATATATATATATATCTAATATACTACAGATATGAGTATTTGATATACCTATAATATGTTCGAGATATACATTTATTATACTAGTGATATGAGTGTTTATGCAATAGGTATATAATATACATCTAATATATTAATATTATATTTAAAAATTTAATAGAACATGTGACATATTTTGAAATCCATAAAAGATTTTTGTTATGAATTGTAATTTTAATTTTTAATAATATATATTAATTTTATGTTACACAGTGCAGTTTAAAAAATAAAGAACAACAACGTAATGCAGATTTTATAATCTTTGACGTCCATTCGATTTTCAGGTTGGACGGCGAGGAAGGCTTCCCAAATTGCAGAATACAGCTCAGGCGTGAACGCGAAATCCGCCAAACGAAAATAAATTAAAAAAAAAAAAGAAAAAAAAGTCAAAGGAAATTACTCAGCGATGAGTAGATGCTGCGTCAACGCGTCTAGTTGTTATTACTGTTTTCTCTCAAAACAAGATAAATATCCACGCATTGCTGACTCATCCTTTCCCTTTCAATTTCCTCTTTTTGCAGTTCAGGACATTCTTTTCCTTTTATCAAATATCTACAGTTTTCTCAACTTATTTACAAACAAGGACCGACCCAGTTAAAGACGGCTCTGAGAATGATGCTTTGAATGAGCGATTTTAACGAGATTTAATGATAATTGATTTTGTGGGAGTGATGTTTATATAGTTATTTTAACTTTTGATTATACTTTTTTTAACAAAAAATTTCAAGAGATAATCATTATAGAGGGAATAAATTTAAGAAAGAGATGAGAACTAAAAATTTCCAGAGATAATCATTAGAAAAATATTAGAGGAAATAAACAAAATTAAATATATAAATTTTGATTTTACCTGCTAAAATCACACAAAAACATATCCCGAGTCAGTTTAGATTAGATTTAAAGTTTTCTTAAAATTCTCTCTATTTTACCATGGTAGTAGGTAGGGGTAGAATAACATATTTTAAATGTGGAAATTTAAGGGTCAGAATAATTTTCTTATATAGATTTTTTCTTCTTACTCTCATTTTTTATTATTTTTTTTGAAAGAGTTTAAACCATAGTCAAAATTTATCAAATAATTTTGAAATATAAATAGTGCCTAAAATTTTTAATTTGGAAGAGAAAAATCTGAGATTTGTATACAACAATACTTGCTATCAACAACCACAACCATCCATAAAAATTTTACAGTTCGAAAAAAAAAAATTATATCTTTTTTCTTTCACCTTTCTCTCCTACTTATTAAACAGTACTTAGCAAAATTGTGACGTATGATAAATTTGGTGGCATACCAACCACAATTTTCCCCCACAGCCTTTGGGTTGTAGATTTTTTAGAGACACATGGCATTTTGTGATTGGACAGTGGTTTGGAAGTGTTATTGGCCAGGTTTGGAATTGGAACGTATCTTTCGGAGCGATTTGGAAATTGAACAGAATAATAATAATATGAAAAAAATATATTTGGAAATAAAGAAGTGGAAAAAGAAAGTTTTGTTTTCCGTTAAGGACTCCAAATGTTTCAAATTCTCATGCAAAGGACACTTTCGGGAGACTATAAAAACCCTCTCCGCCTTCCTCTCTCTTCACACCATTCCCTTAATTTCTTCTAATAATTCTTTCATTCTTTTTTCGCTTTCTTTTTCTTTCTCCCGCCGACATGACGATCCTCATCGACCACCCTCACCTAATTGGTACCTTCTAAATTCTTTTCTCGCATGGAACCATGAATTTTAATTCCAATATGGGGTTTCTAATTTTGCGTTTGTTTTGATTGCAGAAGTGGAAGAGAAGAAGGGGGCGATTTCAGAGATGAAGGAATTGGCGTTGGACGGAGGATTCGTGATACCCGATAATCAAACGGCGGCGGCGGCGGCGGCGGAAGGTTTCGTGGCGCCGGAAATTAATTCGTTCGGCCAAAGTTTCAGAGACTACGCGGCGGAGAGCGATAGGCAGAAGAGCGTAGAGGAATTCTACCGAATGAACCACATTCACCAGACGTACGATTTCGTGAAGAAAATGAGGGAACAATACGGCAAAATGGATCGCGTGGAAATGAGCATATGGGAATGCTGTGAGCTCCTAAACGACGTCGTTGATGACAGCGATCCTGATTTGGACGAACCCCAGATTCAGCATTTGCTGCAAACCGCCGAAGCCATTCGAAAAGATTACCCAGATCAAGATTGGCTGCATTTGACTGCTCTCATTCATGGTACAATTCATTTACACAAAACAGAGTGCCCTCTGTTTTCCTCTGTTTTTTCTTTTCTTAACGATTTTGCTCTGTTTTCAGATCTTGGAAAAGTGCTTCTTCTGCCAAGTTTTGGAGGGCTTCCCCAATGGGCTGTTGTGGGTAAGAATTAAGAACCAACAACAACAAATTTCTGGGATTCTTGAGTTTTTTTTTGGCCCGTTAATTGAATGGGGTGATTTGGTTTTGCAGGGGATACACACCCTCTTGGCTGCGCTTTTGACGAATCCATTGTTCACCACAAGGTCGAATTGAGAATTGGGATTGGTTTTTAAGTATGGGAGAATTTGAATCGCCAAATTGGGAATTTCAGCTTACAAAAAGTTTTGATTTTGGATTATGATTTCAGTATTTCAAGGAAAATTCTGACTCCGAGAATCCAGCTTATAATACCAAAAATGGCATTTACTCTGAAGGCTGTGGACTAGATAACGTTATGATATCGTGGGGCCACGATGACTATATGTATTTGGTATGAAATATAATCTTTTTTTGTACCCTTTTTTTTTTGGATAAAAGCTCTGTTTTTTAACATTAATCTCTGTGGTAATTTTTGCAGGTAGCTAAAGAAAATGGGTCGACTTTGCCTTCAGCTGGATTGTTCATAATCCGTTACCATTCTTTTTATCGTAAGTGAAAAAAAAAAGAGAATTTATAATTTTGAGTTTTGGGTATAGAATAGAATCTTAAACAGAAAAAAAAAAAAAATTGGCAGCTTTACATAAATCGGGAGCATACAAACACCTAATGAACGAGGAGGATGCCCAGAATTTGAAGTGGCTTCATATATTCAAGTAATTGATGATTATTTTGTTAATTAAAATTACTATTATTGTGCAAAATAATTGGATTAACTCACTGTTTGTTTATGAAATTTCAGCAAGTATGATCTCTACAGTAAGAGCAAAGAAAGAATTGACGTAGAAAAAGTTAAACCATACTATATGTCCCTTATTAACAAGGTAAATCCTGTGCCTTTTATTTATTAATTTACATGTTTTTCACGATATATTTTGGTAACTAAATGCTGTAAATTTTTGGGGTTTGCAGTACTTCCCGGAGAAACTCAGATGGTGACCTTATTTTCCAAGATAATTGGAGGAGAATGCTACTGCCAGCCGGTGACCGATGACCTGTTTGGATAAATGTGCTCATTATCTTGTATTGTCCATTGTCACATTCAATGAGTTTTTTTTTTCTTCTTTTCCCTCCGAAATGTAATGGAAAAAAGTTACCTTCAAAAATGATGAAATTGAATTACTTCTGTAGAATAATGGTGTTACAATTAATGAAATATGGTTTTTTTCGTTCTTGTTATATGCTTCCAATTCTTGGCGTGTCTTGTTGGAGAATGTAATTAGATTGACATTCCCATATGATATTTTGTTGTTCAAGGCATGGTTGGTTCGAGTTTGAAAGTCAATAATGCCCCACCTTAACGATTGAGGCATATGAAGTTTAGTCTTTCATCTACACATTTGTTATATTAAAATAAAAGAAGAGGTTGTGCTTGAATGTTGCTTAATCTATCCCCATTCGAGGGGCTTGTTGATATTTTGAATTGTTGCTCTAAATTTTTTTTTTTAATTGCATATAAGATACAAGTTCAATTCTCTGACTCGGTGAGAATTAAGCCTTAGGATCAAATAAATGAAGCTAGCATCAACAAAATACAGCAGTTTGTTCGATTATAATTTAGGTTTTTGTTTTATTTTACAATGATTTTAGTTTTTGTTTTATGCAAAATTTTTTCTATTTTATTTAGAAATATCTAATCCAACCTATGAAAACAGAAGCAAAATCTTGAAAAGAAATTCTAATAAGTACAAAAGAAAAAGGTAGAATCATTCTTAATTATGAGCTATACTCTTTTAACAAGAAAATTTAATTATTCAAGGACCTCCCACCAAGAGGTTTTCTCCCCGAAAAAAACTCAGTATTTCAAGAGGAGTTAGAGCCATAGGGAGGTGGGGTCGCTAGCAGCCTGCTCTCCTCTCCTCCCCTGAAGATCTCGACAGAAGTGGAAGACAATCAATTCGAACACCGTTTCGGAATCTGAAAAAATGTTTAGTGGATTAAGTCTAGTTATTGACCAAGTGTGCCATTTCCAATCGTTTTTCTATCATTTGAAACATTTATTTTCCTTCGTGAATTATGACAGTGACACATGGTCACCACTCTTCCAATGTGACTTTTAATAGTCCTGTTTCTTTTTAGTCCAGTCTTCTTTGTTTCCCAACCAAGGGGGTAAATTAAAATTATTTCAGAAAGTGATATCATAATAACGTATTATTTAAAAAATAAAATAAAATAAAAAATCTTGCATTTTGCAACGTACAAGAGATGGTATGATTTGTCAAATTAACTGTATCTTAATGAATTGCTTGCATTTTGGCACGTGGCAGAACAGGGCACCATCATATAAATTCGTAAACATTAACATCAATTCGGTACCTCAATGGAGTATTTGTATAAAGAGGCAGAAGAGCTAAGATGTTACACAAAAGACAACTCATAAAATTTTCATGATGATTTCTCCATCAGTTGAATTGGGGACAGAATGTTAGACTTGCTTGTTTCTACAATACACCCATTCATGACCATTTCCTCCAGCATGAAATGTGCTTTCTCTAGATGGAACATTATATCTAGCTCACACTGCAAATCAATCACAATAATATTCAGTGAAACAGATGAGGGAAACATCGTTCAGAAGGAAGACATGGTCTAAAGATTGAACATGAGGACTTACAACATTCCCAAAATGACGGTCCATGGTTTCAACCAACAGGTGAATGAATTCCAAAATTGCTAGCTCATTCTGAAACATTGAGAAAATAAGAAAGGTAAAGGAAATATTTTAGTGGATTCAGAAGAAAACTGACAGCTTCAATCTGAGCCAAATCCTTGAGGACTACTCCTAACTTGTTCTATAATGTGGTGATCTATCGCCTAAGCGACCTAAGCATTTTCTTAGAGGCAGGTGTTAATATACGAGCCATAATCGAGGTCTGATACTGACTTCTACAAGCTTTCTCATCAAGCTTTTTTGAAAATAAGCACATGCATATCAGAGATGTGTATAGCATATATGATTAATTCCACAAAACGGGCCATGATAAACTCTTCTGGTAAATGGAGGATATCAAGTTCTAAGAAAGAAAGTGTTAGGAATGTCGTATTTAGCGTTATTAATAGAATAGTAGGAGTATGTTAGTAATTAGATATGAAGTTGTTAGGGAGAGTTGTTATAAATAGAATGAGGGGGAAGGGATGAAGGTAGACAATTATTTAGGTGGTTTAGGCTTAAAGAGATAATCCTTGAGAAGGAGAGTTCTTGGCCACTCAACTGCTAAGGAATTTTGTGTTTTGTCCCGTTTCTGGGGTGATTATTGAAATATATTGAAGGTAGGCTATTGGGTTCCTATCAGAAAGTATACTAATCTTTTGCAAACAAAAGAAAACTATCAGTGCTTAAATTAATTATAAATAGTAGAGAGGATAAAGTAACTTACTTCATCATTGTCAACTCCAACCAGAAAAAATAAAGATGCATACCGCCTATATACAATCTTATAGTTGCGATGCTCGACAAAGGAACACTGTTCACAAAGAAAATATAATAAGTGAAGATAGATGCTAGATGCAATCAAAAACCTCTAATTACACTAAAATTGGTCCCTCGGAGAGAATTAAAAAGCAGAACATGTGTTAAGATTCCAAGAAAATATATGGACAGCACTAATATTCATATGCTAACCATCTTAAATATTGTGCAAGATTAATCTTTTAAACCAAAGCAAGGAAAGAGCAGCAGCGTACACCTTTCAGATAGAGAAGCAAAATAGATTATCACTAGATAACTGGGATGGTACAAAAATTTAAAGAACACGTGGTCAGCATAAGAATCATCTGCCTATTGCTTGTAACCAAGGAAGAAGAGAAATGGATAACCAGGGAAACACACTATGTTGAGTTATTTTATCGATTTCTTTGTTTAACATTGCTTCCTGTGATACATTTCATTCCAGGGCAAGCCATGGACTGATTAGACATCAAAGCATCTGGCGGTCATTGGCTTATGAAACTCCCAGGCATGCATTTGCGTAAATGAAGATCATACAGTAGACTCATGTAGCATCATCACTATCATAAGGAAAGATGGAGTGCAAACTAACCACTCATCATGTGTTAAAATAGCAAAACTGTCCAAACCAGTCACGTATACCCCAACCAATCCCAATCCCAATTCTAAAGAAGCATATGATTGATCCGATAAAGCACTATGAAAAGAGACGCGAATTAAATGGTTTCATATGTTACAAATCGCCTTCACAGGCTTTTAGTGCAAGATCATCTAGATCAGCAATCGAGAGTCAACTCCTGCCCAATCCTAGCTCGCACTTCCAATTAGAGTTGAACTTAGCTCACAACAGTGAATGATGATTTTTACGGATGATACAGGCTACATAGCTACCTAGGGCAAATCCCAGCGTATTTTTCCATAATTGAATTGAATTTAAAGATCAACAGCAATGCAATAGAATTCAACGATTCACGACATGGAAGGGAAATTCGAAAGCATATGAACGAGATCCAGGTACGATCGGCAAGGGTAAAAGAGATACCTGTTGTTCGTTTCGAGCGAGGCATTTCCGAACGATTTCACCTTCTAAAGCTCGACGTTCTTCGAGAGTGAGATATTCGTAATACTGAGCGAGGCGGGTTTGGCCCTGCTTGTTCACCATGAGAATGAATCTGATCCCCATTCTGCCTTCCACCAACTCAACAAACGCACACAGAACAGAGAATTCTAAATCGATCGCGAAGAGGAAGAAACCTCGGGAAGGGTTTTTTTTTCCAAAATAAATAATAATAATAAGAGTAAAATAGCCCTACCTTTCAAATTGGTCTTTAAATCTTGGAAAGTAACAGGTTAGTTGAGAAATTGACTCAATTGACCTGAAAAAGTTTCTATTTTGCTCAAATGACTTAAATTATAAAATTGACTCAACTGACCCAATTTTAACTTTTCTGACATTTCAGAGAGTCTGTAATTACGAATATACCCCCAAGTGAATTGAACTACAACAAATCTGCCGTTGAATCACGTATGTTGGTGTAATTAAAACCATGGGCGAGTTCCACTTGATTCATGGCCATGAATTTATTAAAGTACCACCAACTTAATAATTCCCCACCAAATTTTTGTACTATCATTTATTATATACCCACACGTTCTCACCGAGTGCAGAGAATAAAAGTATGTTTCAGTCTGTATTGTTCAGAAGCACATCTTTCACGTGGTTTTGAAGAACTTTCATACCTTTTCTAACATTTTTCACATCTTGAATCCATTAAAAGAAGTCAATTTTTCATCTCTGACACCTTGAACGAGGTTAGTTTTTTATTGGTTCATAATATTGTTTTCGATTCGTCTAGAATATGATGTATTTAGTTGGAGTAAATGAAATTTCTGAATTTTTCAGTATTTTTGTGGGTAAAAGAAGTTATGTAAGTCAATTATTCATGGCCGTGTTTATTCGTTTAATGGCCGTGGTCAATGGTTTTATGATTAACGGCCGTGGTTTTAGGTCGATTGCATATACATAACCTTGATCAGCTCACAACCATGGTCCATTTTGTCGATTCGTGACCGGGGTGTTTATGACCACGGGCGTGGTTGTGTGATTAATGGTCGTGGTTACATGTTACCTCGGCCGTGGTTCTTAATTGTTTGATTCATGGCCATGGTTGCAAATTTCCTCGGCCATGGTTGTGTGATTAATGGCCTTGGTAGCATGTTCCTTCGCCATGGTCCTTTATTATTTGATTCACGACCGTGGTTGCAAATTCATGGTTGTGATTCACGACCTTTATTATTATTTGATTAATGGCCGTTGTGACATGTTCCCGGGGTCGTGGTCCTCTAATGTTCGATTAAGGGCCATGGTTGTATTTTCCCTCGGCCGTGGTCCTCTAATGTTCGATTATGTGCCCCCACTCGTGTTTGTGCTTTATATTATGGT